TTGACTCAGCGTGAAAGTGCAGGTGTCGGTTGAAGCCTTTTTTTCAGCTCGGCCACGTTCTCCACGCCCACGATACCGCGAATGCTGATCTGCCGCCGCTCTCCTGGTCGGTCAGAGGCTTGGCCATGGCGGCGGTAGCGGCAAAGCCGGACGTGCGGCCCGAGGCACCCGGCTGCAGGACAGGGGCGGAGCCGCCCCGCGCCGCTCGCCGCTCGCCGCTTTTGAGTCGGAGGAAAGTTTGGGGTCCGCCCCTCGGCGCGGCGCCGCCCGGGTTCCAGCCCTCCCGCCGGGGTGGCGGAGAGAGGGAAGGCCTGGCCCCTCCTTCAGGGTAGGAGCGGCTGTCGGGGCGCGAAGGAGGGGACCCCTGCCGGCGAGTCTGCGCGCTCGACGCGCCTGGATGGGGCGGGGGCTGGGGGCTGGGACCTGGGCTGAGCCCTCTGGGCGGTTGAAGGTGGGACCTTTGGCGGATCACGTAGATAGCCGGAGGCTCCTTTCCGGATCTGCCGAATAGGGAGGGGAGGGTGAATTTGTCCTGCCTCCCCACTCTAGAGTATTGGATACAAGGAGGATGCTACTGGCAAACTTGTTTCAGAGATGTTAATTTGCTATGTGATTGTTATTATTTCTCGTATGGAATGCGTTCTATTGTAAGCTTCAGAAGGGATCGTGGAGGGTCAGCACCCTTACTGCAGCTGTCCCGCGTCGCTGTTAGTCCTGGGCATCCCCATCTTGGATCCCAGACCTCAGCAAGGAATCCCAGGGCGCCCCCTTTCCTTTCACTTAGTTTTTGAGGACTCAGGCGTTCGGGCTTCTTGACTCCCAGACCCGGGCTTGCCTTGTCAAAGCACCCTCCTGCTCATCCGTGGGTACAGGTTGGTGAGAATCAGAAGCCCGGAGTTGGGCCTTCGGGCTGATGAGGTGGCCGGGGCTTTTTAACTTGTTCGAACTCTCGTGTTTCAACCGAGGGCGGGTGGAGGAAGAGAGGAGAGAAAGGTGTGTCCCTATACAATGGAGGATAACTCATTGAGCCGGTTGCTTTGTTTACATAAAACAAAGCATTCTGTTTTAATCTGCAGTACGGGCTGATCTTTGCACTGTTCACCTCCAGCTTTGGAGGTATTTATGTGTGTGTGTTTAAAAGTTGGCAAAGGCAAACGCATGGTATTTTATTCTGTCAGAGACTTTTTCTTCAATTAAAAGTGATATTAATCTATTATTTCAAAAATAGTTCACTGCCAGAATTGACTCCCCCCCACCAAATCTTAGTACAATAGACTTATTAATCTTAGATTTATAGACTCTACTGTTAATAATAAAGCAAAGCTGATAATTTTGAGATGATGCACTGGGTGGGATTATTTGACTCAAGCTAAGTGCAGCCTTCACCATAAAAATAAAACTTCAGATCGCATGGGTCTGGCAAAATATCCAGACCCTTGTCATCCCAGCATCCAGGCTTTAGACTCTAGGCCTGTGGGGCAGAGCTGAGACTGAACTCCAATATACAATACTTGCATCACTGATGACCTGCATAGGAAAGCATTCGGGAGACACGAGGATGAGCATTTGGCCATCTGGATGAGGCCAGAAATGCCCTGAATTAAAAGTGAGGGTGGGGCAGCATCAAAATGGTTGATCTTAACATAACCAGGCCTGAAAGGACTGTTCCTTTGACAAGTAAGATAATTAAAAAAGCGTTTTTAAAATCAGTTTTGCAGACCTCTAGGATGGTCACAGCATTAAGCCAGTTTTGAGTCATTCACATGTTGGTGTGAAATAGTTCACAGCTGGAGGGTAGAGTGGGGCAGTGGGATGAGGCAAGGTCTGAGTAGGTCTTACTCCTGGAGAGACCTCTGAGCAGCAAAAGGCAAAAGAATTGTCTGGGTACCTGGATGGGGAGTGAGAAATTAGAGGGTGCAAAAGAAGAGACCGATGACACCAAAGGCAAACTTGCTATTTCTTAGTTTTGCTTAAGACAGTTTCAAATGGGTGGATCCCAGCTCCCCTATCTACTTGGATGAATTCTTATTGGAAACCTAGGACAATGGTGAACTAATAAACACCCTATTTGCTTGATTCTGTGTCCAGTCAGTGAGGCTGCACCCCTGAGTTGCACATCCCTCAAAGAGGAAAAACTGAATGATAGGATGTCCAAACTACAGACCGTGGGGAGGGACCACCCAACCCCATGTGAAAGAGGTGACTTAAGTGACTTAGGAGTGTGCCAGAGATCCAGTCTTGAATGATAGTGAATCACTATCGCTTCTCTTTCGGTCTTCCTAGAAAGTCTTTGGTGTTAGCATTTCTTTAACATTTGTTAATCTGTATTTTTAACAGAAGGCAGTGATACAGGAAAAAAAAACTAATGTGGGGTGAGAGGAGGGCCTTGTCCCAGGTTGAGTCCCTGGGATGTGAATGCCAATTGTGAGTCCTTGGCTTTGCACAGGAAAGAATTTAAGAGCTACCCACAGTAGAGTAAAGGTAGACTTATTTAAAGAGATACATACTCCATAGAGTGTAGGCTGTTTCAAAAGGTAGTAGAAGAAAGGCCATGAGGTGTGGAGGTTGGGTGCTCGGCTAAAGTAAAAGTAGATACACACTCCATAGACAGTGCAGGCTGTCTCCAAAGACGAAGATGAGGGAGGGAGAGAGGCAGTGAGGTGAGGTGTTGCCAGTTTTTATGGGCTCAGTAGCTTCACGTGCCAACAAGTGGGAGGGCCATTCCAACTACCCTGTGGAAGGGGCTGGGATTCCCAGGAACTGGGCCACCATCCACTCTTTGAGCTTTTATGGTCAGCCTTGTAACTGTCATGGCACCTGTGGGCGTGTTATTTATCATGCTAATGTATTACAATGAGCTTATAGTGAAGCTCAAGGTCCATTAGAAGTCAACTCTCCCACCATCTTGAGCCTCAAGGCCTACTGGGAGTTGAATCTTCCACCATTTTGGTGTTAACTGCTGTGACATTCCTTGAATGGCTGTGACCTGCCCTCTTCCCTCTTGTCTCAGCAGGTCCAGACTCTATACCTTCTTCAGGTCTTGGCATCTAACTGAAATTTAATAACATTGTCTTCCATTTATGGTAAATGATACTTTTCTAGTTAGCATTCTGACACTAAGTTTGCTTTTTAAATCTTAAGTTAAAGTGAATTTACTTAAAGAAAAACTGTCATTTGAGTGGCACATGGATTGGCCAAAAAGTGCACAAATGTAACCAAAGTTTGGGTAACATGTAGCTTCTGGTCTCCTGGGTCCCTTCGAAATCTAACATCTGCTGTTCTGTACTGGTCTGGAACACTAAGGCCTAGGTAAGTTTTTACTTGACCAAGAAGATTACTATCTTTAAAAACCTTTCCTTCTGCATCTCCCTGGCTAGAAA